ATGCGCTGACTCTTCTCTCCTTCAATATATCAGACTATAGACAATGACCGATTTTCATGGCATTAAGTTTTCATATCTCATACTTGAAATTATTCGTAGTAAAGATATTCAGTAAAGGGTGTCGAAAAAACTACTCTGCTATTAATGTGCCATAGAAACGTTTGAGCATTTGGGTATCTTTATAAAATTTTAGGTATTTATTGGATGCTTCATTTGATAGCATGCTGAAAATTGTTTAGTAAATGAGTACTGAGGATACCAGTCATACTTAGAACACTCTAGCATAGAAACCATAGATGTTCATCGCGGTTGAAAGTCCACCGCTGCCGCATCGCGATAGTTTTTCCAAAGCTGATACCGCCCCACTACCGGGATTTATTAAAAAATGAAATTCTACTACTGCTGCGGAGGTATTAAAAACATATTCGAAACAATGACCTGTTCTCCAAAGTAAGAAAAAAAATGTTATTAATTTTTCATATAAGAAAATGGGTGATAAAAATGCATCTATTAAATCTTTAGTTGTAATGAAAACATGCAATTAGTAATCAAAAGACGTACAAGAACATGGAATCTTAGATTATATCGAAAGAGATATATCGCCCAAATCAGGTAGCCTCATCCGGTTCGTTCAATTGATATTTCAGACCATGACAAAATAAGAGTAGTAGAAGTTTATAATTGGCAGAGACTATGGTGCCAAATGGGTGAGATAATGTAGAGTAGGGCTTTAGATCCAAAATAAAACGATGCATTCATATCATGCTACTGAGATTCACAATAACCTCTTTTCAATCGTGTATGCTAAAACAAAAACCACATATTCCTTTGAACATTCTCTTTCGTGTAGTCACTTAAATGTGCAAAAATAGAAATTACTAATTTCTAGCTATTACCAGAACTTCTTTCCATTTTTTGTTTTTGTTATTATAAAAATTCATAGAACGATACTTAGCTTTCAAGAAAATCTAATCGACACATGATATTATGCATAAATGTCGTACTTGTTACAAAGTTTAATAAAACTTCATATTTTTTGATCATTTTTCATCTTCAATAATGAAACCAACAATAATAATCGTGTTTTCTGAATTTGATTTTTTTGCTAGTAGATTAATGAGAAAACATAGAAAGTATACGTACAGTTTATTTGCTCCAATTTTAATAAGTTTGTTAATATGCATACACATTATCTATAAGTATGATGTTTTAAGTCGTATATCACAGTAAAATTTATAAAGCAAACAAAGAAATTCTTATAATCGTAAAACTCGTCGAATAGTGGGGCCTAAAGAACTTCACGATTTAATGCATGCGTTAAAGACAAACTCCAATACGCTTATAACTAGAAAAACTCATTAACGTTGACGTAATTAGAAGAAACATACGTTGGCCTAACATGAAAAAAGTATGATCAATAAAAATAAACATATTGTTACATTTGCAGTTTAAAAGTTTACAGAGAAGTTTATCAATGTTGCTTATAGTGTACATAAAGTAAACGAACCTTTAGAGTAAGAATAAGTCAGCATTTATCAGTAGAAAATCATAACAATGATAAAATTACTATAGGGGTATCGGGAATTCACTATCGATACGTATGTCAAGTAAAATCAAATCAAATATGTATTCAGCAACATTTGTTAACAAGGTCTGACATATCATCATCATTTAGTCGTGTGGTAGTAAAGAGTCTGTTTACGTTTGATGACAGAGACATTGAACTGCGTTGACTGAGAAAAATTCTCTTTGGTTCAAATTACATTAGAGAAATAATCTCAAGTACTATGGATTTCTTCTGAAAAAATGTTCCAAAAGTTCAACCGCTATCACTATAGTATTTAAAAAAATCTAGCGCTCCGCGCCACCTTATTAAAAATTTTTTACTGCTGCCGCGCTGCTCCCGTCATCGCGGTAGCGGCAGCATCGCCATGGACATCTATGGCATGGTTTCATTTCTTTTCAAAGATTAGATTCATAGCCACGTAACTTGAACGTCAATATGCGAGCAATAGTGTTCTAGCGAAATTTAACATTGACTTTATCTTCCAAACAGTGGCAAAATCTCCCACCGAACAAGCAAGATTCGACACTTTAAATTTATAATGCATGAGATCCTTAACATCTGAGTTAGCTTTGGGTGTGTGGGTGTGGGTAATTGAAGAAGAGCAACCTACACACGCATATCCCACATCCACGATGTATCATGTCAAATTTCACATAGCTATGACGAAAGGTATCATCCGTCGAAATTCGTCTAATTACCATGAGTCTCGACACGCTGATGTTGGTTCCAACTAGAGATAAAAAATCTCGATCTATTGATGCTATCATTTTTGCAAATAATTGAGCTGATCCGAAGAAATTCCAAAACTAATAGCAAAAAGTAAGTAAAAAAAGTAGCAAATTTTCGAAAAACTCGAATGAAAACGATCAATGTTGAATCACACAAGGTTCTTATTGTAAGACTCGATGGAGTTCTGTAGGTTCTATAGAATGAAGCTACTCTCAACTCGATACAATATACCACAAAACAAAGAATCTTTTAAATTATGGTATGATTTCCTATAGCCATTAAAATATTTTCGGCACATTCAATGCAATCATTTTACACGCTCAAGAGTGAATGTGATTGATCTTCTATTTATTATGTATGTCCAGCTGTTTATATTTTCTAGTACTCTCTATATCAGACGTATGAATCATCGACAAAAACCAATACAAATGATAAACTAATAACATGAAAAAATATTTACCACATTTTTAAGTGATCGGTGTCTTAGTCTTAAATATGGTCTAGAAAAGACAATGGATGGAATCGAAAACCGCTTGCAAAGTCGATAAAACTACAGTTCACTACAACAACCACCCACTATACACAATACAAGTTCATCAACCTAAAAAACTTAAATCTCCAACCATATTACAATTATTGTCCTCTATTACACCTGCTATTCTAGAGGGCGTTATGTTAAATAAGCTCAAATTCTACGGTGCGCTAAGTTGAAATCTAAGTATAGTGCAAGAATCATAGATATAGAACTTATACCTGTTCAGCAAACATCATACTCTTCCACTGACGTCAACTCATTTGATTATTGATTCAATGATCTTGCTTAACTTTTGCTGCTCATAGTGAATCATCAGCAATAATTGTCGGTCCTACATCAATTCATTAAATCAAAGATACTGAGAAAATCGCTTTCGTCAAAAGAGTCGACTTATAAATTGTCAAAATCCAAGTTGAAAATGCATTGCGGGTGTGAGTGTTGATTATTTAATCATTCAAACCTACACCCACACCGACACCTCACATCCTCTTCTTTTTTTTTTTTTGATTTATCTTTAAAAATTGTCATTTCGTTGTTCTTATACATGAACTAAACTATGATATCAAAGAAAATTAATACATAGTCAAATTTAAAAAACGAACAATTAGAAATCAGTTTTTTCTGTTCAACAAAAAAAAAATTTGAAATGTGGATCTATTTGGATACTATATTATTCATCAAAAAATTTCTTTGATAAATATCTTCTGAAAAGAATGTTTTTATATCAATTGATAGAAAATTATTTTCTTTTTCAAACAGTATAAGATTCATATTTGTGACAAATTGACAAATGAAGTGAGACGAGAGAAAGAAGCACTCATGCAATAAATTTGCAATTATTATGTGAAATGATCAAAAACATCTTGCTAGACAATGACTAATTTGATTTTTGTGAACTCACAAAAAAGACTTTAGAAAATAGTAGTTTATTACAATTAACTATCGTCTACAAGATTCTTTTGACGACTTCATATAAAACTTACAAATTTATTGTGTAAGTTCTTCTTTTTTTCGTCTCGCTTCAGTTATCAATTTGTGGCAAATATGAGTCATATACTGTTCGAAAGAGAAAATTGTCTATAAAATGATGCAATAATGTTTATTTCAGAATTAAGTATGCTTCTCTTATCTGTTGCGCCATTACCTTTATGAACATGTTACAAAAATAAATTACTTACAAATCCAAAGAGGAGAAAAATCTCTATCATTTGATAATAACAAGTTTTCCCTCAGTATCCTTTGATCGAAGAGAGACAGGTATTGACATATGTGTCATTACTATTGCAGTATACGTTATTCGAACATTTTTCTAACTTATGATACAAGAGTGTCAGCATATCTTAAATACTAATCCTAAGCAAGCATCCCTAGTATTTCACTGAAAAAGTTTTAAAGTTTATTTTATGTAGTTTGTTAGTTCAGATTGTATTTGTATGAGAAAAAAAAATAGTTTTCCAATCTGTTTGTTTTGCTCAATAATAAGTTTATATCCTGAAAGAAAATATGACTAAAATGATTCACTAGAGTACATAATAAGTCGGCATATTTGCGAGTGAAATAAAGAGCAAACAAAAAACAAATATTGACCTAGCGCCCCAGTCAGTAATAAAGTGTTTTTCTTCTTAAATTTTCTTGCATAAACAGCTAAAAAGCAGCACAGTGATACGATTTTCTTCGTGTAATTTACACTTTTATTTTGGAAAACATATGTTAATTTAGTGTGTACATATTTGATAGAAGAAAAAAATTCGAAACTGATGCTCAACAATATCAACCAACACCATTCTTATGATGTTTACAAGAGACAGATACCCTTACAGATTTTCTGTACCATGTAGGTCGAAGAATATACTTTAGGTCTATGTTATACTATTTTCTATATTTTTTCTTTCGAGTTCTTTTATAACGTTTTTTCCACGATCCACCAAATTTACATCATTGATTGATGTTACTATTAGTCTTTCGTTTTTATTTTTTTCATGCCTAATGTCAGTTATTGGCAAAAAAAGTATACGGTAAGCTTTATGCTAATAAAAAACATATGTATATATAGGTAAATTTGCTATTCTTTTCTATTCTGTTAAAATAAAAAAAATAACAAAACAGTCACTTGATTTCATCAATCAACGAATTAAGTGCACTTTTATTCGTCTAGTTTCGTATTTAATAATGGTAACACAACGATATGAATTTCAAGTTGAAGAAATTCTTCGTCGAAACCGCGCTTTTCAAATTGTTGAAGCTAAATATCAATATCAAGAGTGTAACTCTAACGATGAAGAACGTATTTATGGTGTGAAGGTGTCACGACAAACTTATGAAAAATTAGCAGCTACAATCTCAAAACCAACCTTACCATTTGAAAAATTTGTCAAAATATTAAGACCACTGATGATGGGTGTATATGCAACTACTGATATACCTGGGGCATTTTATCTCTTAGACAGTGATAATACAGGTACAATTGATATCAATGACATCGCTGCTTTTATGCCAATTATTGTGACGGGTGCAAGTCCACACATGCTCCTTGATATTATTCAAAAAGTTGATCAAAATCGTGATTATAAGTTGAATTTAGCTGAATTTACTAATCTCATCAAAAAAGGCATTGGACGAGAAATTGCCATGCGGTGCATGTAAAATTAATTGTTTGCTTTAAAGCAATTGTTTTTCTATAAGAAATAATAACATTCATTACTTAATCACATTAATCAATAAAATTTATATATGCATATTCAGATGAGACATTAAAAAATCTATTATTATCAAGTAAAGAATTAGTGTAGAGATGATGTTAGATTAATATACAAATGAAAATATACTGAAAGATTGTGGCTGTGGATGTTGATCTTCTTTTCAAGACCCACACCATTTTTGCATTTTAATTAGTTTTTTTTCCATTTAATCTTTACTTTCATATTATTCAGAGTAATAATTACCTTTAATAAGCTCTACAAATAGTAACTACTTGACAGCAAAGCTAATGGCATTAGTTTTATTGTAAATTTTATCAGTAAACCTTTCAAACTGTTAAAAACAAATTTTTAAAATTCATATAGATAAATTTTTAAGGATTGAAACAATGAAAATTTGACACTTACGATCGTGTTGTATGGCATTCGTTTTAATTAAAAACACTTCAACTTTGAAGCTGACAATTCTTGAATCTCAATTGAATGTTTGTAAATGACAGAGAGAAAATGTCATCGATTGTGTTATATAAAGGTTTCCGTAATAACAGACATTCTCGATAGAACTTATACTTCACGTACAGTACCAAGTATATGAGCGCAGCATTGACAAGTATGAAAATGTGATATACTAGATAACATCACGATGCATCGCTACTGATTTCTACAAATATGCAAGAGGTAGGATTACCCCGAAATTTTTCAAATACAAACTTACAAGCACTAAATCTTATACTCAGTTTCAGAGAAGAGAAGAAACAAATAAAAAAATATCAAAGATCGATTGAATATGAAAAAAAGAAAAAAGTGGGTTATCTTGAAGCACATTGATATTAGAATGCAAAAAAAGTTTCAAAGATGCCTCATTCTTATCTTGGACAATCTTGTGAAATTCATATAGATAAAAGAGCTGACAATGGTCATCATTTGGTTTTTAATAAGATGCAAGAGAGTGTTAAGGTGAGCAACTATTACTAGAGTTTTTGTATGAATTCGAGAATTTTGTTGATCTTATTTGATATCTTATACAAGCAAAAAGAACTACTTAATTTCGATAGTTCTTTTTTCTTAATGCAATTCTTGACGTATGAAGCTATTTTTTTAGCATATCGAATTGATTTCGACGAAATGTGAGCTATTTTTATTCCAAGGTACTAGTTTTCAATGTCACTAAGGAAATAAGAGCTGGTCTGTCGGACTCTTGAGATTTCGAGGCTAACTCTAAAACAAATTAGATCTTCATAAAACTTCATGAAAAAGGATTGCAGAATCAATGAATTTTAAGAATTTGTTTGAATTATCGAAGATCGAGTATGTACTGCTACTTGTTATTTCTTGTTGAATGAAACAACGTTTCGTAATATAACACAATGATTATCATGTCTCTACTTAAAGAATGTAGATGTCCTTCATTCTGAAGAATTATAATTTATTTCAACGCTTTCTTTTTTATGTATCAAGATGATTTTATTAGCAATCGATATGAAATCCGCTTCCTACTGGTTCATCGCTATGATGATATTCATCCAGTGGTCATGTATTGCCGGAGCCATGTTTTCTGTCTTCACATATGGTGCTTTTCCAGATGATAATATTGATGACACATCTGCGGTTCAGTCAGCTATTAATAATGCTATTGCTAACGGAACGAACAATATTGTTGTGTTTCAATCTGGTACCTATAATTTCACGTCACCTATTTCAATATACAACGCCGTCAATTTGACTGTCATGGGCCAAGGAATGCAACAAACACTCTTAGTTGGAAATTTACCGGTAGCAATGCTCAAACCTTTAAATTGTCGAGGAGTGACAATCTCTTCACTGGCCATTGATTTCGATCCACTTCCTTTCACTGCTGGTTATGTGATGAATGTCAACACGAGTTATCTCGATCTTCAAGTAATACCGCCACACAAAGCTGATATTGGTCGACAAGTTCGTGCCATTCTTCGATATAACCCAGTCATGATGAGACCTGCCTCGGGTCCGAACACATACGAAATCTATCAGACACCACCCTCCAATGTTTATACTAGTTTAATCTCGAATGGCATATTACGTATTCCTTTGACTTCTTCTACAAAATTTGTCGTAGGAGATCCTATTGTAGCTCGCTATTATTCCATCAAAAATGCTATTGATGCACAGGATGTAACAGATCTTAATATTCAATCGGTAACAATCTACACCGCTTGGGCTGTGGGTATAATGACACTAAGAATTAAGCGTATAAATATAATTGATTATCATGTTATACCGCGTACTGGACGTTGGATGAGTACGCCCGTAGATTGTATGCATATTGGTGACAGTCGTGATTACATAAATATAGTCGATAGTAAATGTGAAGCACAAGGTGATGATGGATTGAACGTACATGCATTTTATTTTACTGTAACAGAAATAATTAACTCAACCACATTAGTTTTTGAAGAGTTTAATTTTCCTGATGTACTTAATGTTGGAGTTGGTACACGTCTGGAATTCAGTCGAAGTCAACAACAGTTCACAGTCTATACAACAGCGATCGTAGCTTCGTCGTATTTAAATGGCCCACACACACGAGTATTTGTATTTACCAGCCCTGTCAATGTGGCTGTTAGGGATTGTGCTTCAGTAGCTGATACACCAGCATTGACTATCAGAAATTTTACTGTTGCAAACAATCGAGCACGTGGTATCCTTGTAAAAACACGAAATGTTCACATAACACATTCCTTATTCAATGGAACAAGTGGACCAGCAGTGCTGTTTGAGCCATCTTTGTATTGGCACGAGAGTGTTTCGGCGCACAATGTGACTCTCAGCCAGAATGTCTATATCGACTGTAATGAAGGCATTGCAAAAGAAAAAGGAGTAATTTCATTTTCACCGAATCCACGTCAATCAATGCCAGTATTCATTGACGTTGTTATTGAATCATCAACGTTTCAACTTGGATCGTACAGTGAAGGTTTAATGCAGGGCAACAACGGAGGTAATGTATCGATCCGAGGGAATTACATAGTGGCAAACAGTTCAATATCGCTGATTTCAATCTGTAATAGTCGAAATATATCTGCTTATAATAATACCATTGTTAATAATCAGTTCATGGTGAATCCTTATTATTATGATACAACAAATCCGTGTCAAGCAAATTTAAGCAGCCTTATTGATTTGCTTCCAGCCAGTTTTAGTTCATCTTTTCCTCCACCTGTAATGACAACAATCTCGGGTGTTCAAACATCTGATCATGAAAATGATTTAGATTCATTCAATTTTATGAATCTTTTCAATAATTTCTCACTATCAAATATGATCGGTTGAAATTTAAGCATAGAACTTTACAATCTTATTTAATGCTTCACATTTTTGAATTCTCTCGAAGCATACAGGAGAACTTAGCGATGACTTTATTAAAGAAAGTTTATTATCTGTTTTTGGAAGTCGAATAACTGTTTGTTTTCTTGCTGTTCTAAATTCGAAATATCCCTTTATTATGGCGAGAATTGAAGAATTTTTCTTCATTAGTCTATTACTCTAGTGTTTGAGTATGAATATGATGTATGCTGTTAATGAATAACTTTGTTCCTTCAAGTTTAATACAAATATACATTCATTGCCATCCATAATAGCAATCACACCGACTTACAATTCCATCTCGAACAGTATCCACACCTACTCAAACACAGGCACTAATCTGTTGAAAGATTTTGTACAATAAACATGATGATACTTCGTTGTCCATTTTGATAAACATCAATGAGAGAAAATTCAAATGGCCGATTTCTGTCACTTAGCACAATTCAAACTGTGAGCTGATATAGAGAAATGAAAATTTCAAGAGGGCGTGGGTATATGAGTGATTTCAATAGATAACAAAATACATGCATCCATATTGCCATTGTATATTACATCCACACTCATGTCCATATCCATAGCAATCTTAACACAAATCCCCACATTCAGATGCGGAATCATTGAGGATCTATGTGAAGTTGTTTTTCTCGTAATGTATATAGGGTAGATGTGGGTGTGTGGATGGGGACGGGTATGGGTGAAGATATGTGTGAGTATCGATGAAGCAATGGAACTCCTTCTCACCTACACGCACACTCTGACTTTTCATATTTTCAAAAAATTATTCCTGTGTGACTTTATCTCTTAAGTTTGACTTTTTCAGTCCTTCTCTTGATCGAATAACTTGAATACATCATTTTAACTCAAACGTTTTTATCACATGGCTATGTGTATTACACCTTTATGGTTTTTTTCCAATGGTTCTTATGCGTAATATTGTTAAACATTTACTTTTGAAGCAATTTTATCTCTTTCTTTTTCATGTTTTTAATGACCGTGTAAGTTTGTGATATATAATATCTAAGGAAGAAAGTCGTGTTTCGTCTTCAATTGCTACATCAATGATGATGAAATACTTACTGAAAGAGATGACATAGTTTTGCTTCTACTGACTCATTCGACAACGACAATCACAATTTTTCCCTGAAAGACACTTCTGATGTTGCTTACCCTTTAAATAGATAATTACGAGTATGAATGATGCATATCCATCTCATGAAACAAAAAAGTTGTCAATCGAAAAAGTCACTATTAATTACTTAATTCTCTTTATATAAATAGTAAATGAACCTTTTTAAGTGAGTATAGTTTTCCGAAAAGAAATTTAATAAATCACTTTAGTAGTTACAAATTTACTTTTAAGATTCACTAATTATTAGTTTTGTTACTCTTGCACTACTTAACGGTATAGCTTCGCTCATTTTTTTTTTTGTAATATAGCACTTGAAGTTGTTATCATACACACACTTCCCTATGCTAAGTACTACTTCCAACGTGATGTTCTCTTTAGTGTATTTACCAGTGCTTAATAGCTGCTATTATATACCACTCCTAGTCAATTTTATTACTTAGCAGGAGTTCACTGACTTTTCTAATTAATGCGGTGCGAAGCACAGCATTTATGTAGTCCGTCGCGAGTTTACTTTTTTTTTTTTTTTCTTTCTTTTTTCCTTACTTGACGTACGCATCATATCTCGTCATTTGTTGACGCGATGATCTCGAGAACCAAAGATCACAAATTAATGGTTAAAACGGGAGATGATAGTATCATGATCGAAGGCATGGTATCTTTTTTCCAATCTTTCATACAGTCTCTGGTTCGCACAAAAATACCGTTCCAAAAACACGATTTTGACAAAATTTTGCATTGAGATAATTAAAACGAAAACATAAACAATCATTAGGCGCCATTCATGATGTTGAAATACAAGACAGCTGACAATACAGCTGATTATGGATAATTAATCACGTATATTACGCATAAAATCTCGTCATTTTGTGTCGCGATGATCTCGAGAACGGAAAGTCAGAAAAGTTCCGTTGAAACGTGAAGTGAAAGAATCGACATCGAACTCGTGAAATCTTTGATCAAATTATCCAAAAGGCCCCGAATCGTCTCATAAACTGCCTTCAAAAAGGACGATTTTGAACAATTTCAGCTCTGAGGTAATTAAAACGAAAACTGAAAGAGAAGTTAGGCGCCGTTTTTTTTTTTTCTCTTTGAATATAAGACAGCTGCAATACAGCTGATCATAGATAATGAATCATTGAGATAATTAATCGATGAATAAACAACGGTTTCTAGAAGTTTGTCAATACGCTTTGGTAGAGTTTCTGTAGTAACGAATGTCATAATGGATTACTTTCATGTCCGATCTAGGTTAGCGCAGCTGATCGATAAAAATGTTTTTTATTGATTATCCCTAAGTCAGAAACATCTTCAATTATCTTTAAACTTTGACGTAGAATGTGAGAACTAATTTCGATGATACGGAGAGCGATTATCGAATTTCCATTCGAAATTCGTTTTTTCGAAGATTCGAGAGACTCGTGCTTCGCACCGCATTTCGTATTCGAGTCGAAACTCGAATACCATCTAGTTTATTTTTCGCATTCTCAAATAGAGCTGGGCAAATTTTCTCTATCAGAAAATATACAATCGTGCATGACTGAAGTGTTTACTTGCTGCAATCGCATTTTTCTGAAATAAGGATTGATTCGTTTTTTTTATTATAAGAGCCTATGGATCATATGAAATTCAGATCAAATCTAATTTCTTTTCACTTAGTTTTCACAATGGTGTATTAAACAGTATTAAAATTTCTCTACGCTCCTAATAGCTGTGGTGCCTAATATTCTTGATGTTTAATGAGAGACAATTTGAGCAAAGTATTCTTACGGTGTGCTGGCTTTTTAATTGACTTGTATGGGTCTTGTGCATCGATATATTGTGTATTAAACTGTTTTGTTTTAGAGAACATTATGTCTAATATCAATCCAGTAATCTTATTAGAATCGAGTCTCTCCTCTAATTAGAATCAAAACTCTACTTCTTCTACTCTTGCTAACCATGTCTACAGTGATTCAAACTCGAATAATGCTGTAGAACGTTTCGCTGATGGTACTGATATAACTACGTCACTTGTTCTACAGACCAATGATCCAGAACTACTCAATCTGCAAAATTTTCGAGAAGCTTTGACTTCTTGGAACGTAGGAATGTTCAACAATGTGATCATACAAAGATTTGAAGATTATTTATCAGGACGCATCGATTATCTGAATCTTTCTAGCCTTCATCTAAGCACCTTACCCGATGCTTTGCTACGAATTCTCAATCTTGAAATTCTCTCTTTGGCCAATAATCAATTCTCAGAGGTTCCTTCTCACGTTAAGATGATGAAGAAGCTCAAATTAATTAACTTATCACACAATCGTCTGAAGAGTCTGCCTAATTCAATGGAAACATTTTAAAATCTCGAAATATTTAATTTGGCTGATAATCATTTGCAAACAATACCCGAATATTTGGGTCATTTAGAACATCTGGCGAAATCGGATCTATCCGATAATTCTCTGAATTATGATCGACTGCCACAAAGTTTCAGGTGAATTCCACAGATACAGTTTACTTTGCATCAGCAAGAACATATAATACGTCTTCGATTAAAAGCTATATCTCAAGCATTTGCTCAGAAATGATCTTTGTTCGAAAGAGAGATCGGGGCCAAGTTTTTTAAAACTTGGTTCTTTAAACTTACTAGTATATTGTTGGCAGACCGGATGGAACATCAACGAACGTCTTTTCCTCAACGTTTGTGTTGTTTAATGAATACTATGGTTGAATATTTGAGTTAATGCCAATGCTGTTTTGAATGTGCGGAAGAAAGCATATCAACATGCCACGATCGCATTTTATTCTCTGTATTCGATGTGGAATGTAAATATCTGGAGAAAGAAATCAATCAATGTGTTATGTCCAAAACAGATATTTACTTGCATATTGAACGTATGTATCGCTTTCATCGTCTGCAAGAAAAAGCTTTAGAATATTTCAATCTCATTCATCTTCGGAGTGAAAATCTAGAGACAACCGAAGAAGAATTCATTAAAACCGTTCTAGACTTTATCAGTTCTACATACAATACGCTGAGTATGCCCATTGACGTACAGCAGAGTGTAATGTTCTATCCAAAGGTATCAAATGCGACCGAACAAAGTATTCAAGAAGCAGTCAAATGTATTGAAGATGAGAAAGAAAAGAACATGCCCAAGATCCTGATAGATTATATTCAAGAAAAATCCTTCTGGCATAATTTTCTGTATGCAAAACACAAAGATTTCATCGATCAGCAATTGTCTGTATTTGATGATCGTATGGAGTTATTAAATGCTCGTCGAGATAAATGTAATGATAAGGATTATCTCAATCCTGTTCACTTCATAGTGGAAGAAACAGAACGAACAGAGTCTTCTGTGTACATGACTTTGATCAGTCAGTTTTTTCTTAATATAAATGTTAAATAAAGGTATTTTTACTTGTTTTAGGCTTTTATAAAAATAAGCTGATACTGAGACCAAATAGATAGAAAACGAATTTTAGTCTTATTCATATTCTGTAAAAGATTTATCGCAAAGCTTTATTTAGTATCATGCAAGAACTTTGCATTTGATTATTATGTATGTGAAACGTTTTGTGTACGTCTTCATAGGATGACACTTAGCTGCTGAGAAATACATCTTGCATTGTTCGATTTCTAGAGTATGCATATAAGACTAACGGTTAATCATAAAATGGATAGTAGAGAAAAGCATGAATGTGATGTATTTGTATCTGGCTCCGCCGTGGGTTGACTTCTAGTTTAATTCGGTTTGTTTTAATTGCAGAATTTTAAAAAAACTTTTTTTGATAAATCATTTAATCTAAAAATCTTTTCTTCAGGAAAGGATATATGAGCACTTGTTTGTGTGATCGATTAGAGATGTTTGACGTCTATCATAAGATAAAATCTGATTTCGATACCTTCTATTTCTTCCTTTAGAGAATAGTAATGATAAATTAATTTTTAATGTAGGCTTATATGATATTTTCATATATTTCTGTGCTGTAAGAGCTGTTCTCTTCACCTAATATTATAAAAATATTTAAATCACTTATTGCTTTAAAACATATCCACTTTAGAATTCGCTATCCTTTACATTTAACTGAAACATTCAACACTATCTTAGACATATATGGCAATATATAGTCCTCGAACAATGGTAGTTGTGATCTTGGGAAGATTCGATAGAAACTTGGTGATGAAAATAGTTATTTCCTTTTACAATTGCTAATTTGATATATTACTACAATCATTCTTCTGCGAAATTTTTCATTCGTATCCAAACGCAATATATCAAATGAATTTGCAATAAACAGGATATTTTCAATAAGTTGAGTGCTTCTTTAAATATTACTCGGTTATTTAGGTAGAAAATGTTTGAATCAAGATGCTTGTATTTTTTCTGTTACTAGCTATACGTATCAGATTTCGATAAAATATTGAATTTTTCCTAATATGTGAGAATGATATTTTAAGTTTATTTTCAACATTGAAAGTATTTTTGAAATAAAAAGTATGATTATTTGCAATAGTTAAATGAGTAAAATGCTAAATGAAAATTTTCGATGCTCAGAAGTAGAGAATATTAATTTCAGCTTATCTGAGACATTGAAGATATACGAATCATTTAATTTAGTATTTTTCTTTCTAGTTACACATTGAAATAACTGTCGTCGATTTATCATGGTCTAATCTATGGTTTTGTTGTTTGTGCTCCATAAATATTTCATTTGAGGACGCATTGATCCAAATCTATATACTTACGTCAATTATCTCTTCTGACTAATACTTGGTGTATGTTGTTTTTTGACAAGTAGTGGAAATTTAGCTTTCAATTAACATCTTGTCGAATTCGTTTTGGAAATTATCAACAAATTTCATCAACTGTTTGAACCGTTTCTGAGCAGACACGGTTTCTTGTTCCATCAAGCTACAAACTCAGCTAGAAATCGAACGAGCAACATTTTTTTTAAATAAAATGTCTTATGAATATATAAATACTATGTCAAACTTAGAGATAATATCATTTATATCATCCATCGAAACATATTCATATGAAATCGTATAACAGAGTTTTTTGTGTGTTGAAAAACTAAATTGTAATGTATTGCAGTGCAATTGATAGCTTCACCTTAAGATAATTAGATAGAGTATACTGTGTAGTACCTCTGAGCAACAGTTTTTACATTAAATGAGTTACTGTAATGAGTATTAACTTTTTTTTAATTTATAGTATTCGTTTTGACTTATTTTTTCGAGATCATAATCTCTTAAGAAAAAAGAAAATACAATAAATCATATGCAGAATAGAAATGAATATTAGATAAATAAGCAATCAAAGATGTTTATTTGTGCTAGATGCACTCATTTTTTCGAAAAAAAATGTTTTTGTACAGAGATACGTAAATAACCGATTGCCATGCATTTCTGTATAATCATTGTACTCAACATCAAAGAATTACCTTATAATGCTAGTCATCAATGTGAATATTCAAGTTACTAGATGAAGTGTTTTCGAACAATTAACAATAATATAATAAATCTTGTGGATTCAATCCAACCTTAGCTCGTAAAAATGTGTTCATTTCATTGCTATCCTTTGTTTATATCAAGTCAACTTTCTACATTTGATTCTGAAAGCGTTAAACTGAATTAAAAGCCATTTTCATAGAAATAGGAATTTATTATCTCATGATTTCTTTTTGTTTTTTTTGCGAGGAAAAATTAAACAACGAAAAATGTTTTGAATTGATGAAATAATTGGTATATGTATATTTTCTAGTACTGACGCTTTTCTTATGCATGGTGATCGACGATCAATTTGTCTTATTAAATCAATAAATACCTAAATTTTAAAAAAATCTTATTTTAGAGACTTTTTTATCTAAATAATAACTTCATGAACATTGATAGAATCTTTCGCTGATGTTTCATAAAAAGGACACATCCATTCATCAGCTAATGTTTGACCTTTATGTCTATGAACAATTCTTTTCGTATCAGATAAATCGACTTTATTTCCAACAAGTACGATTGCCGGTTGTTCTTTCTATACATAGAAAAGATTGAATACTTTTTCTATTTATTTAATAAAAATCGTTACTTTAATATTCATAATTTGATTATAAACTAAATGAAGTTGATCAAATGTTACTTGAGATATTATTGAATAAACAATAACAAAACCATCACTATTTTCTATATATAAATTACGCATTGCTGTAAATTTTTCCTATAAAAAAATATTTTTTTTTTTAAATGACATTTTGTTCAATAACAAACCGTTCCAGCTGTATCAAGAATTTCGATAATAGATTGTTTACCATCGATTTCAATAGTCTAAATAAATTCATCAATATTCTTTTCATTTACTTTTCAATCAAATTACTTTTTTAAAAACATCTTCAATAGTTGGATCATATTTACAAATAAAAATACCTTGTACAAATTGTGTTGCCTTAAATGACAGAGTTTAATTTCATATTTAATAATTATTTTAACGTACAAGAGAAGTTTTTCCAACAGCACCTTCACCAAGAATACATAGTTTATATTCTCGATTTAAACTATGATTTGAAACTAATTCCAAATGTCCCATTGAATCAATTAACAAGAGGTTCGATTTTCAATTGTCTACAACTAGATATAAATATTAGAGGAATAAATATTTACTTTTTGATAAGACTTATTTTGTACTCATATTTTAAAATGATAACGATGCATTTACCTATACATTTTTTCTTTATTGATTCAATAGAGTAATGCTTTCAGATTACTTACATTTGATATGTGGATTTGTTTGATGAAAACATTATAATGTTTTTCCATTTTTTTTCAAATAAATTGTATAAATTATCGATATTGTTGTTAAGAGCTACTAATTCATGCTGTCTCAAATATTTAAATAAATCTCATATAAATATATAGAGAGAAACATTTTTAGTTGGAATAATCTTTGACTGTTGTTTTTCAAACACATGTTCTTGCGACATTTTCTCTCCTATAACGCTCAATTAGAACTACTAGCAATCGAAAACTAATTAGAAAAGTGTTCGTATTAGCCTGAGACCTTGTCGTCACTTTCACCCTCAGATTAATCTCCACTCTTCATTATTTAAGTGAGTCTTTTCTCTCACCAATAAATTTACCAAAAAAGTTTTTATCTATTTGATAAATCAACACACAGAACAAAAACGTCTAAGCCATCTAAAATAATTATCAGAATGAATAATTATTTCTAGAGACTTAATTAGATAATAGATTGTATATTTCGATGTTTCTAGAGATATCATGCTCAGACATTAGGATATAGCGGATCTCTATGGAATCCTTGTTTGCTTTGAAACCGATGAATTTCTAGCTTGAAGTCAAGTAAGTAAATTATGTTTAGGATGTTAGAAATATCGATCTGAACTTAAGTGTTCTAGAAAAAAACAATTTTTGTGTGATTTCAATCAAACGCAAAATCCGTAGTAGCCCAAAAATACCATTCACTTTCACGATTTGTATAACTGATTTATTCATATTAGGTCATCTATAACTGTATCATATCATGCATGTGTTTTTTCCGTATTAACTTATTCAGATTAAGTTATTATAGAAGAATAATTCTAGTATAATATATTTCTTCCAATCGTGTAACTATCAAAGCTTTTCATTCTGCTGAGAAATTTGAGTAAACTTGCTTGTTCAATATTCGGCAAAACCAAGATTGATATAAACGATATATCAAGGATGTGTATGTGGATTAGAATTTCTTGCGAAAAACTTTGTCACTTCATGAATCCTGTTTGTTCTATTAACTGAGAATGATATCATTTGTTCCAAAGGAGGCTACGTCTACTCTTTATTACCAATAGGAAACTCGTTATTCATTTAGATAGTTATTAGACAAATCAACTATGTTCTGAGACACTGTAGTATTTAAATATTATTCACAAGTTCGAAGAAAATCATTTCATTGTTAGATCTCTGCTGGGATTTGACGATTTATGCTGTGGTTTTCTCCGAAATATATAACATGAAGATGAGTAAAAGGGAAGAAATATTATGTGCTTCTGTTGGTATCGGAATAATTTACACTGTTCTTATGATTTTGAATGTATATTTTTCGATGTTTTCGACTTTATTTTCTATGAATATAACTACATTCAACGCCAAAACTGTTGTAACGAAAAACACAGAATATTTTGCGAAATGCACAATGACAGAAAAAGATTATTTTTAGTTATTTTCTAATGACTGTACGAATGGTTTTAACCCAAACAGAAGCGCATGGTATTTCTTAGTTTTTACCTATGACAAATGTTTAACTATGGATCAAGATCAAACTTTATAGAAGTAGACTATACTTACTGTTATAAAGTTTGGAGACAACCGTAACTAAAATCGTTGAATCCTAGCGGATATATAACAGTTGCATTATTTTCTTCGAGAAAATGAATAATTTTGAACCCTACTGTCTATTATTGACACTACATGACCATGTGACGAGCATGTCTGAACAGAGATAAAAGTAGTTGTTTTCTAATTATGAAATAAATGCTCAAACAACCAAAAAAAAATTACCTATCTGTTATTGCATTAGAAAAAAAGACTAATTGTAATGAGACGGTGCATCTAAGATGCAGACAATTATAGTGACTGACAAAGAGATGGTTTGAGGGCGGATGCAGGTGGGCGTAAGTAAAGTGAAAACTCACACTCACACCCTCAATTTGTATTTGATCGTGGAGACCATTGACGGTACTATTTGTCTGCGAGAATGACTTGATCAAAGCATTCTAATTACACACAAAAACACTAAGACTGAGAAAAAAGAAAACAGTAGCTGTTTGCATTGTATTTGATCTAATGCGTGGAGATGAATTGATTGCATACGAATAAAAAATGAAGATACATTTGTCGCTCAATAAACAGCTTTATATACTAGGATGACTTTCTCATGCCGTCATTGTGTGAATTCAGAACAGCAGCATTGTCCGAATTTAGGAAACGTAATCGACAATTTTTTGTTGATAAAAGTGTTTCGTTTTCAGTGAAACGGTACGTTTTATGCGCAATTCATATCACTCTCATTCGTTCTGAGAATGACGTCATTCTATAGCGAGTCCACAACGGAAGAACGGAACAAATAATCGTTTCATTTCGACACAAGTAGGAGACTAAAGAACGAAAAAAAGATTGAAAAGGCAGCCATTGTTTTGGATTTTTCCACTTTGGAATAGCCGGTTCTTTCCAATATCAAAATACACGTCTTAACTAAGCAATATGATTACGCAAGCTGTTTACTATAAAAACATTACGTCAATGACTTTCTGTCTCAAGAGTGGCCATTCAAAAGGATATAAATCAGGAATAAGTAACTTTTGATATCACATAAAAGATAAAGAAAAATCGAAGCAGGTATTGGCTATTATTGATTAATATTTTTTTTATTCATAAATAAAATGTTTCAATAAATCTTATCCCATTGTTTATTTTGAGCACAAAAATATTTTGGAACAGTTTCCGAGTCACATTATGGTACAAATCATCAATACTTCGAATACTTTAATAAAAATTTCAAAATTTATCTATAATATAATTCCAGTCCGAATATTATATTGCTACATTTAAACAAAAACAATTCAGCATGTGATTTCGTGGAGCATAAAAAAGTGTCGTGAATCGAGACTGCAGAGTTGAATTTGAATGAAATGTGGATGTATGGGCATTAAGGCAAGCTGTAGAAGAAGATCCACATCCTCACTCACAACTGTCTAGAGTTATTCGACCAGTCACGAATACATATTCGACACACAAACATACTTGGAAAGAATATTTTTTCAAAAACTAAAATATTTTCCCGAAAAAAAAATCTATTTATTATCGTAGAGTACGTGAGAGATATCGAAAACAACATTCTGTTTTTTGTTAAGCTCGAGAAAGTAAATAGTCTATGTTATTTTTCAATTGAATATCGTTGAACTCGATGATTTCCCCAGTCGACCACATACATATTGCCGTATCGATCGAATGACAAACCTTCAGGATCAGCTAGTCGGTCTTCTTGTTGTCCCCGACGCTTCCCACCAATAATCATAGTTCCCTGTGTTGCTCCATTGTACCAACGCATTACTCGATGATTTCCTCCATCTGCGACGTAGATTCTGCCCATCGGGTCAGTGAACACTCCCTTTGGACTGGACAATTGGTTGAAAGCATTGCCTTCATCTCGACCACCAGCCACAACAATTCCTTCTTTGGCGCCTTTCATCCACTTCATCACACGATGATTCCACGTGTCAGAAACGTAGACAGATTGATCTCGATCGACAAAGATGTGTGTGGGCCAGTTAAGTTGATTGAGACGATCGCCTCGTCCAAAACCACCTGCTACCAGTATTCCATCAGTCTCTCCCACTCCATATCGTTTTACTTCGTCTTTCCCGATGTCAGAGATATAAAGAAACCTTTGATTGTCAATTGCAGCGCCACAACAATGAATATTTTCGATGATAATTTCTCCACTTGATCGATTTCTATGAAACCATCGCATCACTCGTCGGTTTCCCCAATCGCAGATAATAAGACTGTCTGTCTCTTTATCGAGAACCACACTGGTTGGTTGATTCAACTGATCATTTCGATTTCCTCGCCCGTTACCACCGGCTACCACTTGACCACTCTTTGCACCAGGCTGCCATTCCAAAATACGGTGATTCTCTGTGTCAGCAATGAAGACACTTTGACCGTCGTCGACGTAGAGGCCACAAGGCTTGTTCAGTTGCTTAAGTGTATGGCCTTTTTCATGACCTCCTGCGATTGTAATTCCGTTTTCTTCCCATTGGTCACTTGCGGCAATGCTATGTATAACATCTGCAACAGAGACAGAGAGGAAATTCTAGCTGAAATAATACTTGATGAGTTCCAGTACGTTCTAGTAGAATTTTTAGACATAATGGTGAATATCGTTAAGATTACTCGGAAGGTCTTGAAGTCTTCGAAGATTTGTGAGAGTTTTAAGGAATTTTCAGAATCTTCATACATTTTTGGTCTACCTTTCAGAGCCTTCAAAATTTTTTAGAAATTTGCCAATTCTTAAAATTCCCGTGGAATGTGTTTCTAAGAATTTCGAGTATTTTTCAGATTTGCTGCAATCTTTTTATTCCGTGGAATTCGACAAAACTTTTACTCAGTTCTCTTGTGTTTTCTCAGCTTTTCTGTTACCATTTTATTTTTAGGGAATTTTCTCGAATCTTTAACAATATTTCGAGTTTCGATGAAATCTCTTGCTATATTGTTCAAAGTTTCAGTACGTCGTCGAAATCTTCCGATACCTTTATATTTTGTCGGAATTCTCTGAATCTTTCCTGTTTTTGATTAAAGCATTCCTGAAATCTTGAAAGTCTCTCCCAAATGATTGGACCTTTTGCATCATCCGATAGTAATATGTCGTTATTTCCTAGGGTTTTCTCGGATTCTACGACTTTTTATTGCTTTTCTTCTGAAATAATGTAGGATTCAGCGGGAACTGCTTTGGTGTGCCGGAGATTTCTTTCGATGGAATGTGCAGAATAGATCTTTATCTACACTTGCTAGCAAGATTGCGAGAAAAAGGAGTTTTTCTCAAGACTACACATATGAGAAATTTCATGTCTGAAAAACATGACATCCTTCTCTGCAATTGGATTCTTTATCGAGCGAAAACTCAGCACATCTTCTTTCTTGATGTACAATGCAAATTAATAGAATCATCAGATTCTCAAGAAAAGAAAACGGTTTTCTTTGAAGTTTTTTTTTAAATCCAAAAAAGGGTCTTAGTTTGGTTTTCATTGTAGATAAGTCTACTAACTAAGATAGATATCCGACCATCGGATACCATGCGACTTCAAATTATGGCTATCAGTAAATCGTGATGAGACTCAGTCAAGTTTGTTAGGATTCGAACTCATATATTAGTTATAAACAGTTACGAGCGTTCAAATGAAATTTTTACTTAGAAAAAGGCGTGGCTGAAAAAGTTCAAAGAAAAGAATTTCGATATAAAGTTTTGTCTAATAGTAGGTTATCAGTATTAGATAATCTGGAGATTTTCATCGAAAACGAGCATATCTTTCTCGAGAAATTCGATTTCGAAGTAGATTCTAGTATTGTGTCCTTCTGTTGTTAACTGCTGCTTGTTTGGATGTTGAATATCTGAATAAAGACGTGTGCGTTTTTCCTGAAAGGTTCGTCTATGGCTTGCTCTAAGGAACGATTTCATTAAAACGTCCATATCCCTTTCATAAGTAAAGCATGAGCCGAAGTCTGTTCCAACTTGTGTTAGGTTCATGAAGACCTACTCACGGTCGTAATACAAAGTCAAGTAACGTTTGATAGGTTAGTATAAAATAATCTTTACGGTTTATTTTAGATAAAAAGTCTGCAGAACTTCCAGAGTCTCACTGCTTCATGACATATCTAATGGCAATCCTCCTCGTCGTCGAAACCATTCTCTCTATGCGACTTATGAGAAAGAGTCTCAGATGATGGTGAACTAGACAAATATTTGATGCTAGAGAGTATCGCAAAAAAAGTGTTCGACTAAACGTTACTCATATTGGTTTCATCATCGTTCCTAAGTGGATCTGTATATTCTATGGTGAAGATGAAATTCCTTGATTGTAGCGTCCTTCGAACCATGGTCAAGAGAAAAGACTCGTCATATAGCAGAACACGAGCAACTGAATCGAGGAAACCGTTTTTCTACCGAGGAATACTACAGCATCCAAAGCAACATACCTTGTTTCGGTGACTCTGGTTTATGTATTGGTAAAACCGGAACGAGCTTGGTTTGAGATGACTTTGATGTACCTAAACGAAAATAAACAATATTGATGTCATCGGAACGAGTTTGTCATGACGATTCGAAAATCATCGCTTTTATTCAGTAATTATACCTTCATTCAACTAACATGGGACAAGAAAGCAAAAATAACTTCACCTCACGATCAAATTTACTGTTACAATAAGGTTTGAAAATCAGCAGTTCCATCTATTCTTGGTATTCTAATACGTTCCTCAAGGACATTTTCAGAAGATGACTGGTGCCTCTATCAACTCTGCAAAACCTCTCGTTGTCATGAATGTTTCTATCTTAAAAAGAGAATTCGCCCTCTTACTGTCGGTCATCAGCATCCTAATGAAGCAAAATCGTGTCGTCTGACTATCTCGGAGAGAAACAACCACTTTTGACAGGCTACACATCGCCGAAAATCATATGTACTTGGAAAATTATAGTGATACCATGCTTCAAGTTCGGCTATGCTGCTGTCGAGGTTCTGCTATAAGTCGAAACATCATCTATGAAGAGATATCATACGCATTTGCCTCACGTTTGATCTCACTCGAAACTCCCTTCCGTCGACAGAGATGAAATGAAACTTCCGAGAAAATATCATCATTCGTAATCCTCATCACTAGAGCAGGCGAGCGCTCGGTGAAGAAGAATTTGCGCGATGTAGGTGTGACTGGCAAATATCGTCTTCTGACACATATGTTCCTCAGAAAATGGTCTCTCCCTAGTGACTAATAGATCAAGAGGACTGCCATTTGCTAGGCTGACAAGTAACGGTCAAATGAGTGTGTTAACGTATAACAAAAGAAACCTTGGGAATCTACTGAAGGATTGCGTCAACACGTACGCAGCAACACTTAAAAAAACTCTACATGTTAGTATTGCATCATGCATATCAGAACAGACAAATAACTGTCATTTTGATTTCGTTTGAATTTCTTTATGCGGAACGATGGTAACGTCTCAAGCATATTAATTTTTTACTCTAGATCCCGATTGTTTTGTGCTGGCTTGTGTGTTTCATTAGTTCCCCATTTTTCATTTCCAAAATTGACTGTCAGACGTTTTCTGTGATGACAGCGTTTTTTTTTCATTCGGATGTTAAATAGATCAAGTTTTGTTGAACATCTTACGTATTTCAATATCGATTTAACACAAACTCAATAAGTGCAGTCTCTGACTAAACGACACTTCAGCATTCTGCACACGTTCAACGGAGTCTCGTCAATTTATGGTTGAAATTAAAGAGAAACCCATGATATTCGAGAATAGTACATAGCAATACGAAAAAGAACTACAGTAGTATATTATTTTTTGACAATTGGAGTCTCAGCGATCGACTTTTAGAGTGAGAAGATAACAAGTCATTTATAATATCTACAATCATAGAATGAGAAAAGTACAATGAATTTATGAATACAAAAATAGAACTAAAGTTTTGGGGTTGAAATCCAAAAGTAATGAAAATATCAGATTGCGTAAGAACAAAGTCAATGAACACTCGGCTGATCCTTAATTGAAGCCGCAGAGTCTGAATATTCGAAAACTGGTCTAAAACTTGGTCGAATTTCGTTATTTTGATCAAGCCTCATTGCTCTTCGTCTTAACTGATTTCAACTCCAGCATGCCTGCATATTCTTGATCGATCTGTACTAGGTTCCATAGTACAAAATAACTCATAGAATCGCGCATCAAAGCAAAACCTGTACCTGATCTTAGCATGTAATCGACAAACACAAAGACACGTGATGATACCGCAGGATGATGTTTTTTTGAACACAAACTACTAGCAGTACAGTTTCCACACTTAATGCTCGCTTCGCAGCGGCACCTACTGCATTGTTTTCTTCGGCTACTAAAATCTGTGGCGTCATGTATTTCCTACCTGCTTTCTTTGCTGTTTTGATTGTGGATTCTACTGTAATCTTCAGTTGCTCGGCTTTGATCTTCATTTCATTCGTGCCTTTGTCAACTTTGTCTCCTTTTGTTACCACTGAAAAAAAATATCAACAAAGAGAATAGTAAAATTTTTTCATTTGGACCAAAAATTAAATAGCTGTCCTCTCTCTCTCTCATAAAATCATCTTTCTGAACTGTTTCTTTCATTTTAATTGTTTTTTCATTCAGAAGAAGAGAGTTCTGTTCGAAAATGGAATGAGGACTTTCTATTTAAATACGTCTAGACTTTCTTAATTCCTAGAAATCGATGCAACGGAAAATGCATGAGTTTGTTTTTTATGGAGCCGTGAAACTGCGATTACACTGAGCAGCAATCGCAATCGACTTTCGAGGGAAAGTATTTGCTCCACTGATAATTTCTCGACTTCTGTACTCTCAGATCTCGCAATAATGAATTAATCCGTCGTTTATTTTTTATCAACCGATAATCATAGAGAGATCTTAAGCATGAAAGAGAATCTAATGAGTAGCGCATATCTATGTCCAAT